TTTTTCCTATGAATAGATGATTGTTTCAAAATAAAAAGCTTTTTAAAAACTCAAAATAAATCAAGCTTTGTCTGGTACTAAGAACTCAGCTTTCTCCCATAGCCCCTCAAAAGGAGCCCCCAAGGACCATGGTGACAACCCATCTGTGCTGGTCCGGTGGGGTACAGACAAGTGTAAATTCACATAGCTATTTCTTTATGTCCTTGTTCAACAGACACTGAGAGTGCAATGCCCAAGTACACAGTCATGAACTTATGATATAAAATGGGGGCCACTGCCCAGGAGCGTACCAAGCTTCTTAGCTTCACCATGCCCAGCTCTCTGGCTTCGGCACGTAACTGGAGTTCTCCTCAGGCCAGTGCCTCCACAGGCAGAAAGTGGGGTGAAGCAAGGGCTGGAGGTGGTTAAACCCATGGGACGGGATAAAACCAAGCAGAGGTGTGAAGAGGGAGAACAAGGAGGAACGAGGTCTGCACTGGGAACCACCCACATTCCTCTGCATTTCACAAACAGAGCAAAAGAAGGTGAGGGGAAGCCATGCTCCCAACCCAGCAGCCCAACATCATATCTGGATCTCCTAGAATGGAAGAAAAGTCGCTGTCACAGACAAAAGAGAATGATCAGAAAGAGATAAGATGAGCGATCCATATTGTGAGACATAAATCAGTCTTCCCTTTGTTCTGTAGCAGTATAGGTCCCAATTCATCACCAGGAGAAGGGCTTTGAGTATCATCACAGGAGAAAAGGGTCTGAGTGGCCTGTGACCCCTCCCCACACCCCCATATATAAGCAGGGCAAGCCAGGCCCTCTCAGGGGATATAGATAAATGCTGTCCTCAACATCAGAGAAATACCCACCGGCCCTGGGGCAGGAGGAGTGGGCACCTCTTAATCCATGAGACCAGTTAAGGAATTCTTTGGCCCCAGGGATTCTCTTGAGAGTGTTTTCCCCAAGCATGAATTGTCAGGTTGGTGGGCTATAGCACTTTCCTCTGGAAACCGAGAGGCTAAGCCCAAGAGATTAAGCCCAAGATGTCTCCCCACATTTGCGGGGTCAGAAGTTTTAGGAAGTTATAGACACAGGCCAGGATAAAGTACCTCTCCCTCAATTTTGGACCTCCCTCCCAGGTCAGAGGTCACTGGGCCACAGAGGCCAAGCTGTGAGATCTGTCCATCCCTTTCTTCCCACTGTGTATCCCATGCCCTCCAATCCCACTGGACTCTCCCTCAGTGACTGGGTATAGACACTGTTTCCCTACGCTGGGGCCTGAGGTGTGGGAGTTCCTGAAATTTGGGCAGCAATTACCAATGGTCTACTCCTTTTATAAGATAACCTTAGTTTGGTCCCCCAAATTTCTTTTTTTTAATTTTTTTTAAAGATTTTATTTATTTATTTGAGAGAGAGAGAGAATGAGAGATAGAAAGCACAAGAGGGAAGACGGTCAGAGGGAGAAGCAGACTCCCCGGTGAGCAGGGAGCCCGATGCGGGACTCGATCCCAGGACTCCAGGATCATGACCTGAGCCGAAGGCAGTCGCTTAACCAACTGAGCCACCCAGGCGCCCTGGTCCCCCAAATTTCATTTTAAGAAGAAACAAATCTCTTTGAGGCTGCCAAGATGCGTTAGCCACAAAGGCTCTCTCTCCTGCCTCCCCACCCCTACCCCCATAATCACTGAATGAATCTGTTTTTAATTTAGAGTTCTGGATGTTAAACTGTTCTCTCTGACAATGACTAGTGAGCAGGTCTTCTGCTTCTTAAGAATCCTGTAGCCAGAGGCAATACAGATTGTCTCCAGAATAAATACAATTTACTCCTACAGGAGAGAGTACAAAAACCTCACCCCATAAGTGAGAGTCACCAGGCTCTTTAGGGAGAGTTGTGTAGAGTAAGAAGGTATGATGAGCCTGTTACTGACTGGGGACATCCATCCTATAGCCATGACAGCGACCCCTGCTCACAGTTGGGATGTGAGTGTCAGCAGGGCCGGAAGAAAGCACTGACCCCTAGGAACAAGCATACCTCCAGTAACCCCAAGTGCTCGACCAAAATCGAGCAGCACTGTGTGGTGGTGAGGGCAGGGTGCGTGGCGGTTAGTCTCTGACCCTGGGGTCTCCCATACCTGGTTCCTCCACACTTCACCCCTGTCTGGCTATGTGTCCACACCTCACTAAGCCTTGTTTTCTTCATCATTAATGGGGACAGTAATAGTATCCACTAGATAGAGTCGTAATGAGAATTAATTATGGGTGGAATATATCCAAAATTCTTGGCACATCCAGATAGTTCCATTAGTGTTAGCTACTATTATGTCTATTTTGGACATTAACTGTAGTTTCTCTTAATTATTAACTATGCCTCATGTGAGGCATAATTGGTGGAACAACAGATCCTAAATAGTGTTTAAACGTGCATCCTGTTTGTTAAGGCAAACTGACATCTTATTGATGCCAATCCTGGAGAGTCCTACATGGTTTACAAAACCTGTTTCCTATGCCTCATCCCACATAATCCTTAAGGAGCCCCCATGAGGTGGGGATCATTCACAGTACCTGTTTTTTGTTTGTTGTTGTTTTAACATAAGGACTCTGATGCCCAGGAAAGGTGAGAAATGCCCCCATGTGTTAGTTAGTAAGAGGTTAGACTGACTTGGATCTACATCTTGTGGCCTCATCCCCTTCCCCTAAACCATATGGTTGGCAGGAATGTCATAAAGCCAGTTGGTTAGTCTGTCCCAGGAAAATGATGGGTCCTTAGGTTGGGTGTCCCCTGTTAGCCCCCATGTCACACATGTTCACAAGACACATGCAGTCCATCACCTATTGGGAGAGAATGCAGAACAGTCACCCAACCTCTCATTGGGAGGAGGGAATCTCCCAGCAAGTTGCAAGTCCCCAGACAACCATTACTGCCCTCTGGAAGAAAAGGCTTACATGAGTTTAACTCATGGAATTCCAGGCCCCAGATTTGCCTTGAGATATCCAAATTGTACCCGGTTTCAGGCTGGTTAAGAGAAGCTAAGTGGGGGCGCCTGGGTGGCTCAGTTGGTTAAGCGACTGCCTTCAGCTCAGGTCATGATCCTGGAGTCCCGGGATCGAGTCCCGCATCGGGCTCCCTGCTCAGCGGGGAGTCTGCTTCTCCCTCTGACCCTCTTCCCTCTCGTGCTCTCTATCTCTCATTCTCTCTCTCTCAAGTAAATAAATAAAATCTTTAAAAAAAAAAAAGAGAGAAGCTAAGTGGAAGTCTCTCTAAACTCTGGTTTCAGAGTTACTATGGATCAGTGGAGGTAATAATTAAGAGAATCTGATTTTTAGAGTTAAGAAAAACTCTTAACTGGTATGAACCTTTAGGAGGCCAACTGGCCTGGGTCCAGGCCTCAGGCACGTGTGGTTAAATCATCAACAAATGATAAATAATCTCATTTGTATAGATCTTCAAAGAAACTGTAGCCATAAACTCATTTTAGGGACTCAGGGCAGGTCTAGATGGATCAATCTCATGGGGGGTGACCCTCACTGTCAGAAAACTCTTCTGGGACAAGCTACCCCTGTTGCCCTTGTTGGTGAAATAGGGAGGGGTGCCCCCACCCTGACTTTCTCCTGGGCCTCTTTCTTTTTGGACCACCCAGCTGCTGCTCCCACCCTTTCCTCCCAATCCCTAATTTATAAACACCAAATTTTCTACAGTTCTCTGCTGAAACTTCTCCAAGACTCTTTTGAATGGTGGGACCAAAACCACACACAGTGTTCTCATCCAGGTCTGGCCAAAGGTGAGGCAATTTGAGGACTATCTGGAACTATCTCAAAATTTCTGTGTCTTATTTACATCCAACCATGGAATCAACTCAGCCTTCATTTATTGTGGTGTGGGGCCAGAGCCGAAGCAGGAGTGGGGATCCCAGCTCCACTGCTAACCATATTGTTAGTAAGTTATAGTTAGTAAGTATATAGGTGGGATTCACTGTGACCTCCAGATCCCTTTCTGGTGAACACTCACATAATCAGTCCACAGAGCACCTCTCCCCCCATCCTCCCGTTAATTGCACCACTGGAGGCTTTACCTAGCCCCATCTGACTGTATGATTGTTGGAAAGAACCTCTCTGGACCATCCCCACTACCCTCAAGGAGCCTTCATGTGGGCTCTGCAGTCTTCACCACAGCAGCTCTGCCCTCTCAGGAGGTGCATCTCTCAGTTGTTTCTGCCCAGGCAGAACCAGCAAAAGAGCCTGAGTGTGGATTCAACCATTCCAGGTCCCCCTGGACGTGTGAGGAAGTGGTAAGCCTGCCCCATCCCCCTGGGGACGAGAGTGTCCTCACCCCTCGGCCAACTACACCCCATCTTCACCCACTCCCAACAACTTGCCAGGAGAGAGGCACCTGCTCCGGTGTTACGGACACACTGCGAAGCCTGCTGCTTTCCTGGGGCCATTTCCAGACCAGGAAGCTCGCTGCGTTGGTTGCCAACCCCCGGGAGGGAGTTCTGAACTTTGCAGGCAGCAGCGCGGAGAGGTAGCAGAGCCCAGGCACTGCAGCTTTTGGGGAAGGAGAACGTCCCCTCTGCCACCCACGCCAGGAGGAGTTAGGCTCTGACCCCCATCTCAGGGGAACCACAGCCTGTCATCTCCCGGCACCTCCAAACCCACCCCTTCCTCAAGTTAACTGCCCGCAGGAGACCGAAAAAGTCCCCCGCGAGATGTTCTTTTTCAGTCAAAGGGCAGCACCATTACCACCTGAGGAGAGTTGAACCAATAGGCAGGTCCGCTCGTTGTCCTGTTTCTTACCCTGACGAGGGCGTGAGAGCGCGCGCACCACCGGGAGACACGCACACACCCGCCCAGCACGAGATCTTGCGTCCGGGCGCCCCTCGCCCGCAGCCAGGCCCCCGGGGATGCGTCCCTGAGCGCGGCAGCGAGGGCTGAGGGGAAGCCCCGGCGCCTCGGCGTCCCCCTCGGGCTCCGCAGCACCGACGCCGGGGCCCGACGGTCGCGGGTTCTGCGCTCACCTTAATGTTGCTGAAGACAGAGCGGGGACAGCGGCCGGCTCGGCCAGAAGAGGCGTCGCTGCCCCGGCGCGCGCCGGGCTCGGGCCAGAGCCCCATGGTGGCGGGACGGCAGCAGCGGCGGGACGGCGGCAGGGCCCGGGCGGGCGGCGGGGCGAGCAGGGGCCGGGCGCCTCGGGCTGGAGCGGCCGCGCCGGTGGCTGGTGAGAGCGGCCGCGGCCGCCGGAGGAGGTTCGCAGCGCGGAGACTGCGCGAGCGAGTGTGCGCCCAGAAGTTTTATAAGTGGCCGCCGCCGTCGCCGATGATGAAACGCGCTCTCCCTCCTCCCTCTTCTCCTCGGCTGTCGAAGGCGCTGCGAGCCCCCGCCCCCCCCCCCGCCGCGGCCGCCCCCTCAGACAGGTGTGACGCGGCGGCCGGCCGCGCGTGACCTCGCTCCGCGCCCGAGGTCGTCTCTGCTCCCGGAGCCCGGCTTGGACCCGCGAGGCTTGACCGCCCCGGAGAAGGTCCCGCCGGCTGGGCGGCAGGGGGCGGCGGGGGGCGGCGAGCCCCGGGGAGGGGGAGGTAGCGGCTGGAGGGGAGGGAGCCGGCGGGGGGTGGGGTGGGGGCGGCCTGGAGGACTGGCGGGGCGGGGGGCGCAGCGGGGACCGACAGGCGGGCGACTGGAGGGGACCGGAGAAGAGGTTGGCAGGGCTTCGGGGGCAGGAGAACCGAGAGGGGCTGGAGGGGCCAACGGGAGCCAGGGGGCTTGACGGGGCGCCGGATTTTCAAGAGGAGAGGGGTGCCGCGGCGCCCCTCCCGACGCCCTCGGGGAGATTTACGGAGCGGGTCTCTGCTTGTTTGCACTCGCCGAAAACCTGGGCTCTCAGTTCCGGTGATGGCTCCGAGACTCGCTGAGGCTGTTTGTGTCGAGGACTGATTTATATTTAAACTGCTCTTTGCGCTGGAGAGGGGGCCGCCCCGGGCAGGGCCCGAACTCTCTGGACCTGAGCCAAGGTAAACTGCAGGCGCTGTCAAGTGTCAGCATGGCTGGGTCTGGCCTGAAGTACTGCGGCCAAGAGAGAGGGCCCCCCGTGGACATAAGGGACGCACCCCACTGACCTCCTTCTCAGGGCTGGAAGAGAACAGCGGCTTTATTTCCCCCCCCCCCAAGATTTTTTTCCACAAGGATTCCTACTGCAGAGAAGAGAAAGAAGGTGAGACTTTTCCAAGAGAAGGAGAAGAAAGTTATGCCAAAAGCAGCTGCAGTAAGGAATCCAATTCTGGAGGTATTTTTCCAGCTCCCTAATTCCTGTAGTCCTGTGCAGGCCCACTCAACTGCCAGGAAAAGCACAAGCCCAGCTTCAGTACCTGGGAAACTTTGGATAAGACAAAGACCCACAGGACAATGACTTTCTGGGCCTGGTCTGGGCTGTCCTCTGTCTGTGGGCTTCCCCTATCCACCCGTGATCCAAGAACCCTGGACACAACAGCATGTGGTGCTGGAAGAAAAGCCACTGGACAGTGGGCAGCCTCTGGCCACTTCACTCACCCACAGAGTAAAGGGCATCTAGAGAGGCTTCCCAGAGCCCTGCAGCATCCTCAGACCCAGAAGAGGCAGGAAACTCCAAGCCACCAGCCTACCCTTTGAGAGAGCTTGGAACACAAGGACATCTGCCACCCAGAGCATTCAATGCACGCTGCAGTACCCATGGTGTATTGTGCCAGGCATTCTGTTGGGTGTCTAAATGGATGATTCCTTAGAACCCCAGCATTAGTCCAACAGTTATAGGTACTGTTACAATTTGGATTTTACGGATGATAATGCTAGAGAGGTCAACTAAAAAAAAAAAAAAAAGACTGAAAGACACACAGGTAGTAAGTGATGGAGCTAGAACCCAAACCCAGCTTGGCCTGACTCCAAAGCCCAGACTTGGAGCACTATGCCCTTTGAAAAGTTATCTAGTCCAGCAGCCTCATTTCACAATGAGAAGAGAAAGAGGAGAGCATTTCATTTCATTCGGAGCAGAGAAGGCCCCGGTCACAGGCACACTGGGCCTGCGATGCCTGGAGCTTCTTCCTCAAACCCTGAGTGAGGCCTTGTCATTGTCCTCTGATAGAAACCCAGGGAGAGAAAAAAAAAAAGAAAAGAAAACCAGGGAGAGTCAGCTTCTCCAACCCTCATTTTATCCTACTCCATTAATCTTGCCCTCTGCCTGCTGTCAGGACCAGCATCATCTCCAAAGGAAAGGCCTATTCAGAAATGCTCACCAACAGTCATCTGCTTTTATCTGCCCTTACAATTAGCTAAATGTAATGGAGACCTAACCAAAGTGGCTCCAGTGAGATTTATTTGTCTCATAGTAAGAAGCCTGCTAGTAGTAGTCCAGGGGTCATGACCTAGGCCCCGAAGGATTCCTTAGAGTGTGGCTAGCTCATTGTCACAAGATAGCCGCTCCACCTCTAGCCTCTTCTCTTAATTCCAAGAAGGAAGTGGAAGACAGGAAACGGGAAGGGGTTGTGCTCACATCAGGGAAACAGATCTCTCCCGTGCACACTTAGCTACTTTTTCTTAAGTCCTGTTGGCCAAGACTAGGCCACATGGCTACCCTCTGCGAAGGAGACTAGGAAATGTAGTTTACGTTATTGCTATCTCCTGAACAAAATTGGGGTTCTGTTAGGGAAAAAGGGAGAAAGGATATAGTGTATTCAACTTCCAGTGTCTACACAAAGAGTAACCATTTCCTAAAAGCACCCCCAGGGTCTGTTTCTAAGATCCTTCCCAAATCCTTTGATTTCAGCAAATATTTCTTAGCACCATAGAAAAATAAAGCACAAGGACAGTTACTGACTTCAAAGACTCCATGGTCTCAGGTGGGGAGCAAGAAGAGAAAGCATTATTGTGTTGTAGAAAGAGAGCATAGCTCTTCTGTCATGCACAGCTGTTATGGGGGCACAGAAGAGGGGCCCTAACTCATTCTGGGGCAGTAGGAAGGCTTCCTGGAGGAAGGGAGCCTCCAGCTGAGGCCTAGGGACTAGAAGGATTGGGATGGTTGGGGTGAAGGAAGGTAAACCTATCTGCTCCATGGTTTCAGTCCCGTTGGAGACCCAGGGACAGTGGGAATGTGTGGTACAGAGGCTGGAACGTTGAGTGGCTTGCTGTGAAGTGTGGGCCTTATCCCCAACACAATGGGGACCACTGAAGGCTTCTGGACAGGGGATGCCCTGGGCAGATTTGCATTTTACAGAGACCTCTCTGGCAGCTGGGTAGGAGTGCAGTGGGGCGTTCTGTGGAACTCCAGGAGCCACGATGAAGGTGTGTTCTGCAGCAGTGGGGATGTTGTGCGGGGGAGAGAAAGATGCGAGAGACATTGACAGGAGATGGCGCCCAGGTGTTGGTGAGGAAATGTTACTCCCAGGATCTGGCTTGCATTAGTGATGCCAACCCCTGGCAGAGAGAACCCAGAAAGAGCAGCAGCTACTGGGGGGATACAGGGAACCCCTCTGGGCTCATTTTGAGTTCAAAATGCCTGGAGTACATGCAGGTCTAGATGGCCAGCAGAGAGGTATATGGATCTAGTGCTCAGAGGGGGTGCTGAGCTAGAGATCACATCTTGGACATCCCACATGCAGGCGGTGGGTAAGCCCCGGGAACGGATGAGTCTCCCGGTGAGAATGTGTTGACAAGAAGTAGGTCCATGACTGACCACAGCAACATTCAGGGGTGGTACAGGGGATGGAGCCAGCAAAGGAGACAGAGGGGAGAACCCAGCATGCAGGGAAGTAAGCCAGCCGAGACGTGGTATTTCAGAGAAGGTCAGGAACACATCCAGGTTGTGGAGGGGGGAAGATAAGACCTAAGAATGGCCAGTGGGCTGGCAACAGGCTGGCGTTGAAGACCTTGGCAAGAGTGTTTCCGGTGGGTAGTTTGTGCTGAGGTCAGATTATGTGTGTGTTGCAGAGGAACTGGAAAGGGGCTATCAGCAGCTTTTCCAGGGTTGCAGAGGGAAGAAAGAGAGGGGAGAGCTTTGGACTCTCCCCTCTGCCTGAATCTCCTGCTTTCTCAGTTCTCATGCTGGACCAGTTGCATGTTCACACCTCCGGGCTTTTGCTCATTCTGTTCCCCTGCTGGCTGCATAGTGCTTGGTTTCTACGCTTCAAGAGCAGCTCCTGTTACTACCTTTCTGGGCCTCTGTAGCGGGAGTAGAAACATGCCTTGTGTGGTGCAGACCTGTCACATACATCATCCCTTGTCTCTCAAGAAACTAGATGTCACTATCCCCGTTTTACAGGTGAATAAACTAAGGCTCAGCGTTCTTCCCCAGCACCTACAATGTGTCTCTGCCTTTATTATCACCGGTGACAGTAGAGACAATACATGTGGTGGCTAAGGGCGCAGACCTTACAGTCAGACGTAGATGCTGACCACCCTTCTCTCCAGCTGGGTTACCTCAGATGGCCTGCTTAACCTCCCAGCTCCCCAGTGCCTTCTCTTTAACACGCAGATATTACTGCATGTCTGGGGGGCTGTTCTAAAGTGTGTAGTGAGGGAATGGCAAAAATGGACAGGGAAAGAAACAACAGATGTTGTAGAGATTGTGGAGAAAGGGGAGCCCTCTTACACTATTGGTGGGAATACAAGTTGGTACAGCCACTCTGGAAAAGAGTGTGGAGGTGCCTCAAAAATTTAAAAATAGAGCTACCCTATGACCCAGCAATTGCACTACTGGGTATTTACCCCAAAGACACAGATGTAGTGAAAAGAAGGGCCATATGCACCCCAATGTTCACAGCAGCAACGTCCGTAATAGCCAAACTGTGGAAAGAGCCGAGATGCCCTTCAACAGACGAATGGATAAAGAAGATGTGGTCCGTATATACAATGGAATATTACTCAGCCATCAGAAAGGATGAATACCCAACTTGTACATCAACATGGATGGGACTGGAGGAGATTATGCTAAGTGAAATAAGTCAAGCAAAGAAAGTCAATTATCATATGGCTTCACTTATTTGTGGAACATAAGGAACAGCATGGAGGACACTAGAAGGAAGGGAAAATGAGGTGGGGGGGGAATCGGAGGGGGAGATGAACCATGACAGACTACAGACTCTGAGAAACAAACTGAGGGTTCTAGAGGGGAGAGGGTGGGGGGATGATGGGTTAGCCCGGTGATGGGTATTAAGGAGGGCACGTACTGCATGGAGCACTGGGTGTTATACGAAAACAATGGATCGTGGATCACCACATCAAAAACTAATGATGTATGGTGACTAACATAACATAATAAAATTAAGAAAAAAAAATAAAGTGTGTAGTGAGGTCTCGGCGCCGGCA